CACAGCCGGAGACTTTCCAAAATGTAAAAAAAAAAAAAGGAAAAAGAAAAAAAAAGAAAATAATAAAGTGTATTCTTGGCTTCAGTGGGCACAATTCTTATTATTTTAGTTAAAACCCAAGTTATAAAGGAAACGTGGGAGTCATTTTCCTCTTTTGAACTGAGCTTTACTTACAGGTGTTTCCTTTTAGCTGCGTGGGTGCATCCATGAAGGAAGGGTAGGCAGCATTTTGGGAGAGATGCTCAAAGAATACACACGATTCCTGCGCCAGAAGCAGCAGTTCCTAACGTGTTTGTGCTCCTAAATTGGAAGAAAGTGCTTGGTACTGGATTTTCTACATTCAATAGAAGGAAGCAGCATAGGGAAAAAATAAACCTCCAAAGTAGAAAGGCTAAAGAGGAATCTGGAATATTCAGAATCCTGGCAATTGTTCTTTACGTATCAAAACTTACAATTTACTCAGCAGGGAGGAGAGCTGAGAAGTATGAGTCTACATTTCAGTTGTGTGGAATTAGTGCCTTAGTGGCCATAATTAAATCCAATTTGAAGTAAGTGATTTTTCAGGATTATCTCACACCAAAAGGTGCTCTTGAGTCTACCAGTTTGGGACAGTAATACAATAGGTGGTGGAATTACAAAGAAAGCCATGTTGCACAGCTTCCAGCAAGCTCCTGCATGCCTGTATTGAAGCTTCCTTGTCCTTAATATGAGGATAAATATTTATTTAGGGTCATTATGAAGCTTCAATGCTGTTTTTTGATGGTTATAAAGGTGGCGTGTAATTACAAATCCTTGCGACTTGTGTGTGCAAGGAATGCTCTTCCAATTTACGTTTATTATCTCTGTGCAATTAATTAACTTTGTAGCTTGTGGGAGCATGTTTTTGATTGCAGCATAGCAAACAAGCAATAACTATCAGCAAAAACACACACAAGCCTTGCAGAATGCAAGAAATGTCTTGCAACTTTCCACAAGTGAAAATGGCACTTTTACTGTTTTCACTAGTGATACTGGGTTCTATGCAGCTACCTCTTGCCTGCGGGAAATGCTAACCAGCAGCAAAGGTTTTAAAACAACATTTTCAAAGTCTTTTCCTTCTCTTCTAGGAATGCTGGTTTTCTTCTTCCCTCCTTCATGCTGGTGGCCCATCAAAGCAAGTCCTTTGCTGTTTTCAGAGGATGAGCAGTCTGATGTGGGGTTGTAATGGCATTTGAAGAGCTATCATGCCAAAGCCCATAATCCTGCCATGACTGAACCCTCAGGTGTTCTGTTTAGATGAGCTTTTAGGAGCAGAAAATGTTGTCTGAGCCGCAGCATAGCTGCTTATTTCTAACACTATGTAGTTGTGAGCACATACATTGAATCTGACGACAGTATCTGTTTTAGGAAGGCAAGGCAATATGTGTTTTGTCATCTTTAAGAGGTCTTGAAGTTGCTTTAAGTGAGTATTGGAGGTACTTTAAATGTGTATTGGATTATTTGTGTGTGTCTCTTATCCTGCCTATACTTTTTATGTATGTAGAATCCACATACGACTTGGGATTTTTGAACCTGTTATTGAAAAGTGGAATGGGCAAGTAGGGAAGCTTACTCTGGTCGTGGTGGTTTCTCCCAGGCTTTCTGATCTGATGTTGTAGGAAGGAATAAGCTGAGGCATTTCTAGACCTTGAATCCAAACTTCTCTTGTTGGAACTCGACACTTGCCAGTCTAGGAATGATTCTTCCTTTCTGTTTGGTGCCTACAGACCGTATCTGGACTCCCTTGTCCTGTTCTGGACTCCCCAGTACAAGGCAGATGCTGGAGCAAATGGTGCAGAGGCTGCTGAGATGATCCGGAGGGCTCGAGTTCGCGGTGTGCGAGAAGAGGCTGAGAGGTGGTTTTGTTCCTTAGAAAGTGAAAACTAAGGAGGGGGATCTTATTGCTGCCTTCAGTTACCTAAGGAGCCAAACTCGTCTCAGCAGTGCACAGAAAAAGCACAAGATGTGACAGGCACAGGTTGGAAAATGGGAAATTTAGGGTTGGTATCTGTTGCATATTGGGATATGAGTTGGAAAAGAGAAATCAGTGAATCCTTTACAAATTATGTTTGGGGGAGACTTGAGCACACGTAGTGGATCTCTACCATAAGGATTGATTTTTAACAATTTTTTTGAGTGACCAGTGACTGTTGACCCATATTCATAAAACAACGATGTATTCTATTCTTTTTTTTTAATTGCTTTAGGTTAAAACTTGGTTTTATGGGGCTTTCTACATTGAATTGTAGACAAGTACCAAAAAACACACTGCTGGACCTGGTTTGCTGTGCTCT